GGTAAATTACATGATGTAATATACGTATGTTTGATGTCAGATACACATTCATGTTTCTTACGTACCAACCCAGGTTTTTACCGTTACATGAAACGTACATTGTAAATGTAAATGTAAAAGGTACTAACTTTGTTTTTTTTTCTCCATGGGGGTCCAACACTTTGGATTTTTTAATTCCAAAACAGATTCTGTTTTTATGTTTAACTATTATCTGTGACTAACTACAAATTTGGATTAAAACGTTATTACCAAGACGATACTTGAAAATGTTCATTTCCATATATTATGATGTATTATTGGTTATTTTGGTAGCATTGAATTTAATACAGAGGTTTAGCTGATTTTTTGATTTTTGGTGACCTGAACTTTATTGTACTCTCTATGCTATCTGTCTAATCCATCCATTGTGATGTAGTACATTTCATGTAACGGCTCAGTTATAGTTTGTTATGCAATAACAAACTAGACACAAAATAAGTTCTTTCGTAGGTTCTAAAAGACTCTACGCGTAGCGTAGAGCGAGAATGTTCACCGAGCGAAGTGAGGTGAACTCTCTTGTTTTGTTTTTTTTCTTCGTTAAACATTATCTTTTTGGCCAACAAAATTATTATATTAGTAATATATAAAGAAAAAATCCCCAAAAGTAGAAATTGCGTAATATTGCGAAATTGTCGACGACAACGACGACAACGACGACAACGACGACGGCACACGAACGGAAAAGTGTCTCAAAAAGTGGTTTTCTACGCGTTTCATGAGTTTTTATGATGATCCAAGCTAATTTTGCGAAAAAAGTTTTCGGGACCAATTCCTGTACTTTCCCTTGACACGTTGTGTACGGAAAAGTAAAATTGAGGGGCAAAAACCAAACTTCTGCAAATGCGATCAACATGAAACTTTCAGAATCTTATTTTTTCTCCAAAAAATGAAATCTCAGAAAGTTTAAAGCCAAAGGGAATCGGTTTACGGGTACCTCTCATACAAAATTGTCGAAGTTTTAGTTAAAGTGACCGATTTTTCACTTTATTTTTATTATTATATTTTCACTGCCTTTATTTGAAGAAAATTCACAAAAAATAACCAAAAGTACCTACGGACAACGCTGGCCAACGGTACGGAAAAGTTCGGGATTACCAATGTAATTCTTTTTATTTGTGCATGAGTACGGCATCGCCATATCCACATATTTGAGTCAAACACACTAGCTTCAGTGCATTGCAGCGGTGCCTTACAGCACGATGTACCCATCAACAACGAATACACGATATACCTGCTTGATAAGCAGAACAGAGCATACAATATTCAGGGCGCTATTCAATCGTCATCGTACGGCATCTCTGGCATTTAAATTCAGAAAAAAATCTGCTCAATATAGGCATAGTCTATGGTTTTTGACATAGGAATTGAAGAGGCCCTCTGAATAACTGGACACTCATTTCCCTATCAATTTAGACAACAGTGTGGAAAAGTTCATATCGCGGATGTAAGACATTTGCTTTCGATTCTCTTCACTCATCTATTTTTTTCTCCATTTTTTCCAAATGATAAATGCGAAAAAGACCGTCTAGCTGAGAATGGTAATTTTGAATAGTTAGGCTCATCAAATCAGAAATGTATTGAATATATTTGAATGATATGTTTCAGGTAAATTGAAGGACGTGAAAAAGCTCATCAGCAATGGAGCCAGAGTTAATTGTCCAGACACTTCGGATCGGACACCGCTTCACTTCGCTGCTCAGAATGGTAATGTTGGATATTTATTTACATTAAATGAGAAATTGGTTTGATCTTTTTCATTGATCTGTGCTATTTTTCAGGTCTCAAAGATGTCGCTGAAAAAATCATCACGAAAGGAGCCAAGCTTGATTTAGGAGACTGCCATGATCGGACACCTCTTCATCATGCTGCTTTGAAGGGTAATGTTTAATATTCATTTTCGATAAATAAGAGAATGGTTTGATCTTATTTATTGATCGGTTTTATTTTGCAGGTTCCAAGGATGTCGCTGAAATGCTTATCACGAAAGGAGCCAAAGTTGATTTAAAAGATTTCACAAAGCAGACACCTCTTCATTTAGCTACTGAGAAAGGTAATTTTGAATATTTTCACTTAATGAAAGAAAGACTTGATTAACATTGATCGATGTTATTTTTCAGATCACATGGAGGTTGTCGAATTGCTCATTACGAAAAAAGCTGAAGTTGATCCTATAGACTGTCTTAAGCGGACACCTCTTCATTATGCTGCTAAGAATGGTAATTTTGAATAGTCATTTTCGTTAAATAAGAAAATGGTTTGATCTTTTTCATTGATCTGTGCTATTTTTCAGGTCTCAAGGATGTCGCTGAAAAAATCATCACGAAAGGAGCCAAGCTTGATTTAGGAGACTGCCATGATCGGACACCTCTTCATTTAGCTGCTATGAATGGTAATTTTGGATATTTTCACTTAATGAGAGAAAGACTTGAGATTAACATTGATCGATGATATTTTTCAGATCACATGGAGGTTGTCGAATTGCTCATCACAAAAAAAGCTAAAGTTAATCCTAAGGACGGTCTTAAGCGGACACCTCTTCATTATGCTGCTGAGAATGGTAATTTTGAATATTTATTTCCACAAAATGAGTAATTAATCTAGTCTTTCTCATTGGTCGACAATATTCTCCAGGCAACGTACAAATCGTTCAAATCCTTGTGAACAATGGAGCCAGTCTTAGTATAAAAGATTATCGAAATCAGACACCTTATCAGATTGCTTCAAATAGTAATGTTGAATATTTTTGTTTAGAAAAGAATGTGATTCAAACTATATTATTTTTCAGATAACAAGGAGGTGGCTGACTATCCTAAGGAGGTTGAAGAAAAAAGAAAAAAGTCATTGACACAAGTGAAATCAATTTAAAAATCAGATTTTTTCCTTTGAGTTCCGTATTCGATTGTCATGTAGAATATTAACCCGCAGACGGGCAAGCTAAATCACTTAAGACCGAAAGTGGACTCATAGTTTTATGGCTGTAAAATTGAAAAAAAACGCAATATATTTTCAAAAGTGAGACTGTGCTGGAAGCTAGAAAGATGTATCTCTCAAACGTGCCATATGCCGATAAAATTGAATGAAAACCAACAGAGATATAACACTCCGATTTTTTTTGTCTAAATTTTGTGGTTTTCAAGTAGTACAGTTTGACATATTAAGAGCTGAATTTTTAGTATACACCTCCATAGCTCCACTAATGCTGAACCAATTTTGTTAAAGCATGCCACGTTTAAAAGATGCATCTTTCCACTTCCCCACTATATACTACTTTTTATGATACATTGCTTTTTACACCGAAAATATTATCAATTCTGGTAGAGAAATGGCTATTTTTGCGGCTTTTGATATTTGACAAACATTCAAATGAATACATGTCTCTGTAACTTTTCTAAGGTTCATCCAATTTCATTGGTATATTGCGCATTGAAATGGTTTTCGGAATAATACTACTTTGGATGATATATGTATTATGTATTCCCAATTTTACAACCATAAAGCCGTGGGCCCGTTTTGGTCCGATTTGCCCGCTTGTGTCCAGAAATTATATTTAGCTCCACGGAGCGTCATCTAATGATCGATGTTCAATTTTTTTGGCTGTAATACGTGGAAAGGATCAAAGAGTACAATGCAGCACCTTTTCCGCACAATAATATAGTTTTTATATATTTATTTATTGAAAAACCATCCTCTCCGACCACAACGAAGCCACTTGCCCGGTTGAGAGTTAATTTCAATATATTTTTGTCAAACTTTAACCATATCAATATTGCTGCTTGGTTCGACTATATCGGTTATGATGGGAAAAGTTGGTAAATCATATACGAATGCTAAGCAAAAAGCTGTAAACAGGGTCGCTTTCTTCGTATACAAATACATGGGAAAGATTTGACGTAAGACGCCGAGACGCCTCTACGCGTAGAATGCTCGAAGCTGTCATCGTACACATATTGAACACGAACATTGTTGTTTACACAATCGCACTCACACAAATGAACGCATCGATAGTGCCCGCTCAATTAATATGTACGATGACTGTTTTGAATGTCCCTCGCCTAGAGTGCTGCGTGTCGTTTTTCTTCGTTTATTAAGCGATCTTGCTGTAAACTTCCGAATACACTCATAATTTCAAGGAAAACCTCAACTGTTTTATTCCAAAACCTTAAGTGTTCAGAGACATATCTAACCGACCATCGCTAGTATAGTGCATAATATTAAACGCACCCATTCATTTGCCATTGTTTTCAAATTCCA